ATCCCCAATTCCCACTATCTCGCACGGCTTGCGGATGCTCAGGTGATCTTCCCTTCTTCTGACTGAGGCGATGAGACCAGGTGCCATGTCAAGTGCCAACCATCTTTCACACGAGTGTTGCTGTTGGAGAGAGACTCAGAGCATGGGTTCGTGCTTTTTTGTTTTCGCGCCGGTAGTGCCGGAATGCATTGGCACCTTTGCGTGGCCGAAGGTTTCCGGTCCGTAAGCCCTAAACCCCTAAACATGCGACCTGGGTAGACACCCTTCACACTGTCTCACAGATGAGAGGCCTAGCTACATGAAACCCGATGGGGCCAAGCCTCCATCACGCGCAGCTCAGATGTACACGCACCTTCTGAGCAGTCTCCCTCCCCCTGCGCGCGCGCCGAAAGCCCTTTTTTTCACAAGAGACTCGACTGCTGCCCTTACTGCCCAGCTCGCTCCCACGCCACAGTGCCTATGACTGCAGGGCGAGACTCGCCAGAAGCCCTGGAACCGTCATCTCCAAACAAACTCGATGCGAAACTGAAACCCTAAACCCGAAACCCTACACCCTAAACCCTAAACCCTTCACCCTAAACCCTAAACCCTACACCCCTAACTGAAGCTAAAGCAAGTGGCAGCTGGGAATCATGTAGAGTTATGTCCAGCTCGAGCTTCTCCATCGTGCAATCCTTGGCATGGCTGGATCAGGGTGACGGGCGTTTAGGGTTTAGGGTTTAGGGTTTAGGGTTTAGGGTTTAGGGTTTCGGCTCTCGCACTCGCACAAGGCAGGCAAGGACTCGGTCGGAAGGGTTTAGGGTTTAGGGTTTAGGGTTTAGGGTTTAGGGTTTAGGGTTTAGGGTTTAGGGTTTAGGGTTGTTGGTATTGCGAGCACTTCGACTCTAACGATTCAGACATGCCCCCGCAAGAAACAGGAACGAGACCTCTACCTTCCTGATACCCCAAGCCCTAAACCCTAAATGTGCGACAAGAAAATGGTGGATTACTTTACCGCTTTCACGACCAGCGCCCGGGGCCAGGTGCCCGCAACCTGTAGGCTAGGCAGATTTAGGGTTCAGGGTTTGGTTAGGGTTTAGGGTTTAGCCTTTCCACATGAGGATGCCAGGAATTGGGGGTACCTTATTGGGGTCCCTATCATATGGGAATCCCACTACTTGGGGATTTATATTGGGTGGTCCCCAAGTATCGTAAACCCCCATATGAGGATGTCAAGAGATTTTGAAAGACATCCAGGCTCTTAACCGCAATCCAAGCTCTTCACCAGTCTTCAGCTTCAGCGTGCCGAAGGAAACTTCCACCGCCGCCTTTCAGAGAAGCCCCCATGACATGGTCATGTGCATAGCTGCAAAGTCTTGCCGTTGGGATGTTCCCCTTTTGCCAACAGTCCTTAATAGGGATTCGAACAGGGGGTACTATAGTCCCTATTCAGGACTGTTAGTATAAGGGGCAACATTGCGCAAACATCCCAATTTTGTTATTTTAAGGCCAGGCCGGACCTTGGCCGCGGCCAGGGTCATGTATCGACAGGTGTGGCAGACATGATGCGCCTTACCTGTCTAGCCTTGCAACCCACGACATTCTACGAAGTTACTAACTAACTCTGAAGGCAAGCCGCAACATTACTAACTCTGCATATGCAACTATGAGGTCATGAAGACAACAACTTGCACTAACAGTCACATACACAGATGCAGACGCACAAGCAACAACACCAACACCGACACCGACACGCGCACACACACACACACACACTCTCTCTCTCTCTCTCTCTCTCTCTCTGTCTCTCATACGCGCATGTACTCCCCTCGAGGAATCAGCTACTTTCGAATCCGGCTCATGGCGCTGAGCCGGATCCTCTCCCTTCGTCATCTACCGTAGAAGCATTACCATCATCTGCGTCGCACAGCGATCTAAGCCGAACACGCCCTGCACTGCAGGCATCGGATGGCTGTCGATGCTAGTGCCGGCCGGTCTCATCAATGACCCGGCGCCCCCTGCCTGCCTATAGTCCTTGGCACACAGTATTCACACCCACACCCACACTCGCTCATTTGCCACCATGGCAGTGCGGCCGTACACTGCGGCGTGCAACTTACTAGAATCTGAATCTGCCGCACACCACACACGCACAAACCCCCAAACACTCAGCCCTACTTGGAGGTTCAGGGTACTTAGTAATAGCTAATTCTAACAATACTTCTAACCCACTTATAAGTATCATGAACCGTCAAGTACGCAGCATCCCCCGGCCGGCCACCTTCTCCCGCACCTTGAAGTGCATGCGCGGGGCGCACAGCTCCACGTCCTTAGGGCTTCTTCGGAGCGGTCTAGGGGCTCGCATCTCCGAGGTGGTTTAGGGTTTCGGGGGTTTAGTGAGTTTCGGGGGTTACGGGGTTTAGGGGGTTTAGGGGGTTTCGGGGGTTTAGGGTTCAGGGCAGTAGAATGTGCTGCGGTTTAGGGTAAGACTTAGACAGGACCTGGCACCGTACAACTTGCGAGGATCGAGGCACATCTCATGGGATCTGCACCAGGCTGAGGTTTAGGGCTCGTTTCTGGCGCTTCTCAGCAGGGAAACTCAAACAAGCCTAAACCCTAAACCCTAAACCCTAAACCCTAAACCCTAAACCCTAAACCCTAAGCTGAACAGGCTGGCGTCTATCTCCAAGGCGTCGGGAGTTCTCTCACGAGCTTTGCTGATCATCTCTTGGCCGGCCTCACTGTTCATCCAGGCCTGAGCCAGGACTGACATGGTCACTTCTCTAAATGGTGGTCTCTTTTTGGGGTTACTCTCACCTCATACTTAGGGTACCCAAAACGGGACCAGAATGTTTGAAGTGACCACATGGGTTTTGGGCCAAATGCAATTTTTCTACAGGTGGTTCAGCTCTGAAGTTCCTGAAGCAATTGGCAACCAACACGTCGCCCTAACCCTTGGGCACCACAAAAGCCCTCGTTCAAACCCTAACCCTGAACCCTGAACCCTGAACCCTAAACCCTAAACTCTAAACCCTGAACCCTAAACCCTAAGCCCGAAACCCTCACATCTCCCTTCCGTGCGGAGGAGGTGAGCCTTCGCCTGCTGATAGCTCGAGCCAGGCTCGTCAGCCGCGGCATCTGCGGGTTTGCTCTTCAAGCTCCTAGACTTGTTCCTGCTGGCCACCCTCTGCAGTCCGAGGTCCGAGGCAGTGGGACTCCGCACCTCAGTAGTGGCTGAAAGCACTGGCCGAAACTCCATATCCAATGTGTATGAATCTTCTATATGTATGTATGTATGTACGTATGTATGTATGTATGTATGTATGAGTGTAAGTGAGTAAGTGAGTGAGTGAGTGAGTGTGTGTGTGTGTGTGTGTCAGTGTGTCAGTGTGTCAGTCAGCGTGCCAGTCAGTGTGCGACACAGAAGCTGGCCGCGTAGCCATGATCCGTGCAAATAAGTTAAAAATGTATATGTATATATGTATATGTATATATATATATATATATATGTATATACATATGTATATACATATATATATATATGTGTGTGTGTGTGTGTGTGTGTGTTTCCTTCTTTATTTAAACATACATATAGCAGAAAACACGAACGTTTGAAGTTGGGGTCCAGCGTCCAAACCCTCGTCCGGCAACTCTGGAATCTTTACCGCGACGTTGAGGTCCTTCTGCGTCTGATTGATCTCGGTCTGGAGTTTCTTGAAGCTCTTGAGGATGTTGTCCCTAAACGTGTACCTTGGGCTAAGTACATGTTCGTGCAACACTCGTTTCTGCATCTTTGTCGGAAGTGCAGACGCGCACTAGCAAACGCTGCAGTTGGGAACTTGCTTCACGGGTCCTCCGTGTAGCGATGCATTGCAGAGACAACCTTGCCTCATGACCCTTTGGTGTTCAAGCGAGCGGCACCATCGGCTGCATCTTGGTTTTCAATGACACGACCGTCCGTGTCTCTTCGATACCTGGACACGCCAGAGGCTCAATTTTGAGCCTGGCATGTCAAGCGTGTAACATGCAAATATCATGCCGCCCACCGGGTACGGAGTAGGGGGGGGGTCAAACAGTGTTGACAACGCAACCCTAAACCCTAAACCCTAAACCCACCCTAAACCCTAAACCCTAAACCCTAAACCCTAAACCCCTAAACCCTAAACCCATTTGGAAAGTATCCGGGGTGCGGTTCTCCAGCTCGAACACGAACCTTAGCGGCTCCCACTCATGCATCTCATGCATGAGAGCTTTAGGACAAATCGTTATTTTTGGAGAGATTCTTCGCTGAAGAAGTGGTGTCGGTATACACTTCCTTGCACATGTGTCTGCTTGCTCTAGACACTTTGGGTTCGTCGATCATTGAAAGCCTCCAGCTGGCGCCGCAGACGTGCATCTTGTCCTACCAACAAACTTGAAACAGCCAGGCAAAGTACATGCCAACAATGCCCAGCAGCGCAGTCTGCTCGTTTCCATCGCCGAAGGTCAGCACGTCAAGACCGGCATGGGTCACGCCTCAGCTGCAAGAGAAATCTGGTTAGGCTTGAGGGTTTTAGGGTTCAGGGTTTAGGGTTTGGGGCAAGTAACAGTCCAGCGTACAAAGAACTCTACACATAAACTCGCACATCGTCTGGCCCTCCCCTGCGTACTTCTCAGGGCGGCGCCAAGCAAGCCTACCGCTACTCTTGCATGCGGGCGCATATCCGAACCCGGCGAGCAGCCGGCCCCGCACATCCGAGCCGCCGGACCACCGGCGACTGCATGTCTGAGGGAATCCCCTAAACCCTACTTGGAGGTTCAGGGTACTTATGAACCAATTAATAAGTGTAATTACTTAGAACCTACTTATAAGCCCCTGAAATGCCCTAATATAGCTATAATTTGGGTTATAAGTACAGTTATAATTGGTTAATAAGTACCATGAACCTTCAAGCATAGACCTCAGTCCACATCTGAAACACATGAACATTTCATGAAAACACCAGGATCGGGCTTCGTCCGATGTGGGTTCTGTGTCGCCCTCAGACCAAGAGGCTGATTCTCTGCAGCTTCATGATGACCTCCACGTTCGCTGCCTCTGTGTTCTTCCAATCCACCTCTTCGCAAGCACATGCGCGGTGCCCGCGAATGCTTGGCAAGTGTTGAGCCCAGGTTTAGCAAAATGACCCGGACAGAAATCGGAGGCTCTGCCGTCTGCAGTGGGCTTAGGGCAAGAGATGTGGGTTTTTGGACGATCTCAGATGGAAACAGATAGAGTCCGCGACATGGATTCTGCCTCCACAAAGACGCCAGTACGGCAGCGACGTTCTGCCCCCACCCGACCCCTTTGCGCCCTTGTGCTACTTTCTTGGAAAAGATGGTGGCGACGTGGTGCAAGCCTTGCTTCCACAGCCTATTGGGCTTGCAAGCGCGATAAACACACACAAGAATGCAGGGCAAAGGAACCTTCTGCGCATACTCGGCAACCATGGCCACAGTATTCAGCTCGGCCAGCACGATCGACTCCTTGCCAAAGCACACGCAGGTGAAGTCAGAAAGGATCCGGGTGAACTTAGCAATCCTTGGGGGCCAAGTGAACCCTAGAATTGGGGTCAGATACCCTATACTACTATAATCCCTAGTAAGGTATATGAAGCCTAAACCCTAAACCCTAAACCCTAAACCCTAAACTCGAAACCCTAAACCCTTTTGGGGTTCATCTCGTCCCCAAGGATCTTGCTCCTCGCACCTCCACCCCTTTGAAAACATTGAAGCAACGGTCCTCGTCGCTGCCGATGAGCTCCGCAGTCAGATGTGCAATCTGCACAGAAACCTTGGGGACGGGTCATATACCCTGCCACTACTATAATCCCTATTAAGGTAATGTGAACCCTAAACCCTAAACCCTAAGCCCTAAACCCTAAACCCATTTAGGGTTCACTTCGTCCCCAAGGAACATGCATCTTCTTTGGGACATCGACATCCGCGAGATCCTGGCAGTGAGTGAAACAACACGAGGGGGTCCCTCACACAGCTCAAGGATCCGACCTCCTCCTCCTCATCCCTCTCATCCCCTTACAGTTTAGGGTTTAGGGTTTGGGGGTTTGGGGGTTTAGGGTTTAGGGTTTAGGGTTCAGCATCTCAAGTTCGAGCATTTACTAGGCCAGCAGTGTGTTCAGGCAACGGAAAAAACCCACCCGCCCAAAGAATCCCATAACATTAAGAAAATAAAAGGTTTTCTTCCTACTCCAAAGAGTTTTACCTACCCAAGTCAGACACGTTTTCAACACATTAGGAAAATATCCAACCTCCTTCTTCTCTAGGCACGTGGTCAACAGAATGGATTTGTTAACCACATGTTTCTGTTTCGAGCAAACAAGAAAACCAAACGTGGTCAACAGAATGGATTAGTTAACCACATGTTTCTGTTTCGAGCGGACAAGAAAACCAAACGTGGTCAACAGAATGGATCTGTTTATCACATTTGGAAGCCATCTTGAGTTTCTTGAATCGATTGAGGGGCTTCAGGGGTCTCAAAAACAGGCGCGGTCATTCGGGAACGAATTCTTTGGAAGCCATCTTGAGTCTCTTGACTTTTTTGAGGGGCTTCAGGGGCCTCGAAAACAGGCGCGGTCATTCAGAAACTTATTCTTTGGAAGCCATCTTGACAAGCGGGCTTCCCATCCCACGCTTTGATCCACTTCATTGTCGAGGGGGTGGGGGAGGGGGGTGGGGGGGTGGCGTAGAGGAGGGTGTGTGGGGGTGGGGGTGGGGGGGGGGGGGGGGTGTGGGGGGGGTGGGGGGGGGGACTTTGCCCGTTTTTGTATGACCTTGCCCGCTAAATATATGACCTTGCCCGCTAAATATATGACCTTGCCCGCTAAATATATGACCTTGCCCGCTAAATATATGACCTTGCGCGCTAAATATATGACCTGGCCCGGGCGATATATTTAGCGGGCAAGGTCATATATTTAGCGGGCAAGGTCATATATTTAGTGGGCAAGGTCGCCCTTTAGCGGGCAAGGTCATATATCTAGTGGGCAAGGTCATTTTTTAGCCAATGGACCTTGCCCACTAAATATATGACCTTGCCCGCTAAATATATGACCTTGCCCGCTAAATATATGACCTTGCCCACTAAATATATGACCTTGCCCGCAAAGTCATTAACATTTATATTATATATGAAAGAGTGGTTTAGGGTTTAGGGTTAGGTCCCCTGTCTCCACTTCTTTCCTACCACTTTCTGGCGGAGCCATTTCAAGTCTGCTTCCTTCCAGCAGGCATGGCCACTGCAGACGCCGCCCCAAGGGCCCTGAATATAGGGCCTTAACCCTTTTTGCCCTAAACCCTAAACTCCAAACCCCAAACCCTAAACCCCAGCATCCAGCCTGAACCTCTTGCTTCCGCTTCTCCAGCTCGGCGGCAATATCGGTATTGGAGTCATCCTCGAATTCACAGCGAATCATCAGCAAAGCGACTTCGCATCACTAGAATCGTACGTATTGGGATGTTCCGCCTTATACTTACAGTCCTGATGATAGGTACTATAGTACCCCCTACTATATTCCCGATTAAGGACTGTTAGTCTGACTGGGAACATCCCAAACCGCACGTATCTCTACACTGAACTGCAACGCTCGCACCAAGCAACAGCCCAACAAACGAGCTGCCAGTTGCAAGTGACAAGCCTCCACAAAGCGTATGAACCCTAACGGCCCTCAAAGCCTTTGACCTAAACCCAAAAACCCAAAAACCCTAAACCCCTAAACCCCTAAACCCCTCTTTGCTGCCGGGCTGTTGCAGTAAGCCGGGTTCCCCTAAGCCCATAAAACCCTACACCCTGATGTGGCCCCAAAAAACTGCAGAGACCGTTGCTTAGGCGGAACGAAGGCGCGTCGTGCCAGCAGGCGCAGTAGAGCAGCGCCTTCCGGTAGTAGCTCGTGGCCTGGCCTCCAAGGGTTAGTCGCTTTGGCAGAAAGGGTTTAGGGTTTAGGGTTTAGGGTTTAGGGATTTGGGGCAAGCTTCGGGTTCAGGGCAACTTGGTTTTCTCTTTTTTGCCATCTGCATGGCTCTTGGGGCTTCTTTTCTTCGGCGCCCGCATAGCTGGACCGGGTTTCGAGTTGAGGGTGTCGTGCATGGGGCTTATGGTCTGTCTGGGGAATCCGAAGTATGGGCCGTTCATTTGCGTCCCTGTTTTATATAACCCTTAGATAGATAGATAGAGAGAGAGAGATATATATATATATGCTTGTTCTCTCTCTCTACATATATATATATATGTATATACATATATAAAGGGCCCATACTTCGGATCCATACGAATGGGGCTGCAGGCGCTTACGGGCTCAAAGGCGACGCTGACTGCGAGAAATCTCTTGAGTTACTGTGATCTGCTCGTCTGCATGACCGGTGTCGAAGCCCTATGCGTTTAGGGTTTAGGGTTTAGGGCCCAACTGTCCTGCACAAGAAGATGCCAAGCCCCAAAAGCGGCGATGTTCATATAATAGTAATACTGGTATAAGAATAGCAAAAATATACTATCACAGTACAAGAATTTCACAGCAACAAAAATAAACAATGTACCATACTAGTTCGTTTACAGAAGGTGGCTTCCTGTGCTATAACAGCCTGCTCCTGCTTAAGACTAGTTCGTTAAAACCCTAAACCCTAAACCCTAAACCCTAAATCCTGAGCAATGGGAGGCCTTGAGCCATCGCCCGGGCCGAAGCCAGCTGCTCGGCCACCTGCGTGGTATGGCCCGCCCCGCCACAACAATGCATTTTGGAATACATTTGGGGTTTTCAGGGTTTAGAGTTTAGGGTTTGGGGTTTAGGGTTTAGGGTTTGGGGTTTGAGTTTAGGGTTTAGGGTTTAGGGTTTAGGGGTTTGGGGTTTAGGGTTTAGGGTTTACAAGCTCAGTATCCGCTGCAATATATTTTCGATGCCTGGCCTCCATGAACCATTTCGCCTGCATTTGCAGCGGGACGTTGTCTCCTTACTTCTCCAATAATCCAAGGGGGAAAAAGGCTAAACTTTAATAGTCCCACAGAAACCCTAAACCCTAAACCCTAAACCCTAAACCCAAAAAGTTTAAAGTTCAACTAAAGGCGAAGTAAGTCTCTCATGACCTGAAGTCGCCGCTCCCCGCGAGCCTTGGCGGGCAAGGCATGGAAGGTGAGATGAAAGCTTACCCCTAATCCTTCCACCCCAGGTAGGGTTTAGGGTTTAGGGTTTAGGGTTTAGGGTTTAGGGTTTAGGGTTTAGGGTTTAGGGTTTAGGGTTTAGGGTTTAGGGTTTAGGGTTTAGGGTTTAGGGTTTAGGGTTTAGGGCAGCTAAACTGACCATGGCCTGTCACAGTGCATCGCACAAAGTTCCCTACTGCCCTTTCAAGGCGGAGCTGTAGGACAGATCCACTCACAGGTCGCAGAGGTGGGGGATGCGAGTGGGGATCATGCGATTAGCCAATCTCTCGCTTGCCTGCACGAAGGAAAGTTCTGTTCATCCTGAGCCCGAAGGCGAATAGCACCCATGGCAGCCTTTGCAACAGCCTAAACCCTAAACCCTAAACCCTAAACCCTAAACCCCCAAACCACAAGCCCTACCTGAAGCCCTAGATGCCGCCAAGTGGCATCCAGTTTCAAGTCTCTTCGACCGAGGATCTCAAGCTCTTCACGGTAGTCACGCAAGCAATAGTGCACGTACCTAGGGGTTAGGGTTGAGGAGTTTAGGGTTTAGGGTTTAGGGTTTGGGGTTTAGGGTTTAGGGTTTAGGTTTAGGGCTTAGGGTTTCAGGTTTAGATCGGGCTTCGGGTGAACTTTGACAAGGCGCACAAGCGCGTGCACGATTATGTGTATATATGTACATATACTAGACCCAAGAGTAGCCTAGGAATAAGAAGGGTACTACTTTTTGGAGTTTAAAAGGGGCTTACAAGGGAGCCTAAACCCCAAAAGAGAAGGGAATAAGGGCCTACACCGGGTACTATTTAAGGTATCTGTAGGGGGTGATGAAACGGCCGGGGACCCGGACCCCAAACCTCCGGGAACCGTCTCACCAGAGGGGTATACGGTGTTCTGCAGCCCCATCTCCGAAGAGCGAGTATCGGGCGGTTAGGGTTTAGGGTTTGGGGTTTAGGCTATAGGGCATAGGGCATAGGGTTTAGGGTTTGGGGTTTAGGGTTTAGGGTTTAGGGTGTAGGGTCCAAATCTGCAGCAGATCTGGCTTCCATCCTGGCAGCCACTGAAGCCCCGGGCTGGCTACGTGAAGGGCAGCTCAAGGTGAACGCCCAACATGAAAAGCTTCGCGTCCGATAGGGTTTAGGGTTTAGGTTTAGGGTTTAGGGCTTAGGGTTCAGGAGTTTAGGGTTTAGGGTCTGAGGGTTAGCTCCTGAAAGCCCCGGAGCTACATGCGAGACAGGCCTTGCGACTGAGGAGACTTCGGGGGCCCGGTTCGTTTCAGCCCCCAAAGACAATGAAGTCCGTCGATCAACCTCTCGCCATTTCCCCAGGCCCTTCCTCACTACTACATCTCTGCAGCTGACGTAGGCCGGCTACACCATCTGCTGAGGTTTAGCTTCCCAGCCTATATAGGTGTTCATAGCACGGCTACTGCACGCCATATGACTATGTCACTTTGGGTGCCAAATTGCTCATCCTTCATCTTTTGCACGCTCTGCGCCGACTCGAGGTTCACTTCATGCGCGTAGCGCGTCAGGAGCGCCTCCCATGGGAAAGGCCGGCGCAGTGGGTAGGGGTTCTTGGCATTTAGTGCAGGCAAGGGCCCATGGTTCAGGGTCCCTGGGTTCATCTCAGAAACGTACATTGCCAGTTTGGGGGATCGCCTCGTGGAGGTTTGGTCTGTGCTGGAGGTGGCATGCGCTTGAGGCAAGGCACAGAAGCTGGATCTAGCGACAGCCGATAGCGCGGGTTAAGGATTTTCCTTGGGGACCAAGTGAGCCCTAAAATTGGGGTCATATGCCCTCTACTACTCTAATCCCTATTGAGGTAATATGAACCATAAACCCTTTTAGGGTTCATGTCGTCCCCAAGGTTCAGCCAGACGCACAATGCGCCTGCAGTACACTGGACTCCCGGCCCATTGCAGTGGAGATCGTCACCAGGGCTTGAAGTTGCTCCGAGGACGCTTTCCTCAAGACTCTTGGTGTGCAATGTGCAAGTTTGCTCTCAGTGCCAAAGTGGAGGTTGCGACCACATGCCGAAGTCTACGTATGATGCCCGACCCGCTTCTCCACATCTTGGCTGCAGGCGGGGCTCGAAGCTCAGCAACCCTAAATGCTAAACCCTAAACCCTAAACCCTTGGAGCAAGGCCTTGCTGCAGGCAGGGCTCACGAAGTCCGCAGACGCACCCGAGCCGAATTTGAGCGTGACGGTGGTGTCCTGGTCCTGCTGGTTGTAGATGATCTGCATCAGCTGCAAGGACACCTCAGGGCTTCAGGGAAAACCAGGTTTAGGGTTTAGGGTTTAGGGTTTAGGGTTTAGGGTTTAGGGTTTAGGGTTTAGGGTTTAGGGTTTAGGGTTAGGGTTCAACAAACGACACTTGCAGACTCCAAGTCCCTAAGCCCCATAAACCCTTTTTTCCCCAGGGCTGCTGAGGCTCCGGCCTGAGGTGCAAGAAAGATCAGACTCCCTAAACCCTAAACCCTAAACCCGAAACCCTAAACCCTAAACCCTAAACCCCAAACCTCCAAAGAGCTTCAGAAGCCTAATCCTCTGGGCATCCGACCAGCTTCTCCATGCTGCCAAATCCGCAGGTTATGAGGAAGCCCTTGAATCCAACTTCCTGGCGTTTCTTGGGTTTAGGGTTTAGGGTGTAGGGTTTGGGGTTTGGGGTTTTGATTCTTGTAGTCGCTCAAGTAGGTAAGGATTTTGTTTGGTTTGCCTGCGTAGCTCGGCTCTGCATATCCATCACCCCGAGACAAACACGCAGGTTTAGGGTTTGCTCGGCGCTGTCTCTGTACAGGGTTTAGGGTTTAGGGTTCAGGGTTTAGGGTAATTCCCTGTTTGCTTATGCGTGTTTTTTGGGCCCCTAGATTTATAAAATATAAACACCAAAAAAACAGCAAGCTGTGACTCATGGGGCGGCGTCTTGGGCTTCGAGGCAATGATTTCGGGTCTAGACCCAAAACCGTATACCCTCATAAACCCTAAACCCTAAACCCTAAGCCTCCCCCCAACACTGAGGCAAGCCAAAAAACTTCCCAGCTGCTGGCAGGTGAACCCTCACCAACTCAACTAGGCTGCAAAGCCACTCAAAATTCTGCTTAAGCCCCTGCTCTAAGCCCTGCTTTAAGCCCCCCCAAGCATAGATCCCTCATGACACATACGTAGACCAGAGGTCCGCCCCAAACGATCCCGTGGCCCAGTTGCCTTCGAGATGTCTGCCTCGCTGGCCTGTCACTGGTTTCAGCTTCGGCTTCGGGTGAGGTTGGGCTCCGGCAGCGAACTTCCATGCACACAGCTAGTTCATGGTTGGGTTAGTATTTAAATATTTGTATTCCTTATGGAGTTTAAGGACCCTTAAGCCTTAAGAACGTAAAATGCTACCCAACTATGACAAAGAAGCTCTGCGTAACCAATCACACGGGGGCCGCGGAACGCGCGGCGACGTGGTATACTGAACCGCATCCATTTTTTCTCCACGCCCCGAACCCTGGCCTTGATTGCTGCACTGCTTGGTCTCATCGCCTGGGCTGCATCGTTTCGGAAGGAATTGACATGGTCTGAAGAATCTGTCAGTTGTTGTTTGTGGCGTTGTGGCAGCTGACTACAAGGGAACCACCAGCGTGGCTCTCGGGGCAAGACCCCCGCCTTCATGATGTCGGTCGTCGTGGCGCGATGCAGTTCCTGATGGGGACTTGGGGGGTGTGTGTTTTGGGTGGGAGCCTATGCTGACACATACAAGTAGACAACGGCAGGGAGTAGGTTTCGCTGGCCTTGTGTTATCTAGAGTCGCGGGGGGTGGGACGAGATAGGAAGAACCGCTCGAGCACGATGAGTGCTCGATGGCTGTTTGAGGCCTAGACCCTAAACCCGATTCCGTTTTTGAACCCTAAACCCTAAACCAGGACTCGTTTGACCCGGAAATTGGCCTGCGTCCGCAACCTAAAGCCCAAAAAACCTCCCAACAACCCACAAGAAACTCACAAAGACCCCTCCAAGACCTCCCCTCTCCTAAACGCTAAACCCTAACCCTAAATCCTCAACCCTAAACCCCAAACCCTAATCCCTAAACCCCTCTCTTAAGCACCTCAGAATGGTCATAAACTCACGAGGCCTTGCCTCGTCGTCCAGCGCCTGCGCGAAGATGTTGCCCAACCTGAGAGAGGCAGAGGAGTAGGGGGTTTAGGGTTATGGAGTTTAGGGTTAGAGGTTTTCGGGCCAGGGTTTAAGCTATGGGGCTTATTATAGGGTCCTTAAACAAGGGGGTTCAGGGGGGTATGTAAGGTTCCCTAATACCCCCTACTACTCCCTAAGGCTCCCTAAGCTTCGCGAAGGTTCCCTAGGCACCAACCCCCCCCCCCTCAACCCCCCTCCCTTAAGAACCCTCAAAGTTTAGGGTGAACAGGAATTGGTCCATTTTGGCCACCCGCATAACTGATGGGCTACTTGGCAGGGACCTATTCCGCACTTTTGTTCCGAAAAAAACCGAACCCTAAACCCAGAACATGGCTTGGGGTCCAGGGTTTTGCTTGCCACTTGGTGCACGTCCCGACTTGTGCGCCTCATGCTTGCACTCGGGGCTCGGGGTGAAAGAGCGCTTGGGTTTAGGGTGGAGTCGTAGGGCTTCCACTGACTAGTAGGGTTTGGCGAGGACGTCGGTAAGGACTGGCACCTGACCTTCACCTATAGGCCCCAACCGAAAGATGCCTCATGGCGGCCGTGCTCCTGCTGGTCAAAGGAAAAATGTTTCGTCAGTTCCTGTGGGGTCAACCTCACTTGAGACGAGCAGAGAGGCTGCAATGCAAACCCTCCCCCCCCCCCCCCCCCCCCCGCGCAACTGCCCTGCTTCAGGCTGGAAGCTCCGCCGCAACCATCGCTTCGGACAAAGGCTCCGTGATGGAAACCTTGATGTCACCTGGGTGGGGCGGGGGGACAGAAAGGGCTGAGCAACTGAGCGGTTGGTCCCCTATACGCCCCTGCCTTGCCCACATCCGCTTCCTCGTGTAAACACCTGCTTTTTGATGCGCGCATGCCTGTCCCCACTCCCGTCGCCCTCATTCCCACCCACCACCCCAGATCCTGCCGAACGACGGATGTCGATGATCATGTTGGACATGAACTGCTTCACTAGCTTGGCCGCCATGCCCGCCTTATCCGCAACCTCCGCGCCTGCAGGGAGCCGAAGGTCTCGGCTTGGGACCGGCATCCATTGTCAGGCACAGACTTGGGGTTTAGGTTGGGATGTTCCCCCTGATACGAACAGTCCTTAATAGGGATTATAATTGGGGGTAAGATACTCACCATTAAGGACTGTTCATAATCAAGCGCAGAAGCACTGCTCGTCTCGACAAGGGGCCGCCCATTTGTGAAACGCAAGAACCCCGAAACACGGCCTGAGACCTCCAAAACGCTTGGGATGCTCCCCCATAAACTAACAGTCCTTAATCGGGATTCCAATGGGGTGTATCCCTATTAGCGACTGTTAGTATAAGGGGGAACATCTCAACCCTAACCCCTAAACCCTTTTGCCCTAAACCCTAAACCCTAAACCCTAAACCCTAAACCCTAAACCCTAAACCCTAGCAGGCCTTGCTTCTTTGCCTCGTCGACGAGCTTCTGATGCCGCCGGGTCTCGAGCTGCTGAGCCGCCTGGGCCAGGACAGATCAGCTGTCATGGCATCATCTTCTTCGATATATATATATATATATATATATATATATATATATATATATATATAATACTGTATATATATATATATATATTATGTATCTAAATATATATATATATATATATATATATATATATATGTATGCGTATGTATGTATGTATGTATGTATGTAGGTATGTAGGTATGTAGGTATGTAGGTATGTATGTAGGTATGTATGTAGGTATGTAGGTAGGTATGTATGCAATGTTCTACACACATACATATACGTATCTCAAACTCTTCACCCATGTAGAAAAACAACAGTGGAAGGTTTGGGGGCAAAGCTGCGACATGAACCGAGAGACTGCAGGGGTTTTGAAGGGACTTTAATCTTGTTCCCGTAGTAAGGTTTAGGGTTTAGGGTTTAGGGTTTAGGGTTTAGGGTTTAGGGTTTAGGGTTTAGGGTTTAGGGTTTAGGGTTTAGGGTTTAGGGTTTAGGGGCAAGCCCCTGTTTCTACCTTGTATCCGGACTCCTTTTGTCCCTTGATCATGGAAGAACATGTCAGCATATGACGTCTGCGAGGCAGCAGTGACATAGTGTCAGGTGGGTGCCTACTAACGTTCCTGTGGAAACGGCTCCCAACTCTCCAGCCACTGCATTGCCAGAGCCTGGGCCCCTTATCAGGGGCCTTATTGTAGAAACCATCCGGTGAAAGCTCAGGCGCGATCTTTAGGACGGGGCTTTGGGCACTCAGGCTTTCGCAGCTCGCTAGGAGCTCTGCTGGATCCCACGAGCCCAAGCAATGGGAACAACATAATCTCAGTTGCTGAGTTCATAAGCCCCAAAAACAGTGTACACTTTCAGTTCTATAGGGGATTATAGCATCCCAAAAAGTGTAAAGTGTACTCATTCAGCTACTGAGTAACCACAACAACTCGCAGCATCGAACTCGCAGCTTCTTTGCTACTCGCCGCGCCTGGGTCTCCACGCTCTCCTTTCGGTTCTGTCGGATCTCGTCGAGGAGGTCTTGGGGGGCTTTTTGGTCGGACCTGACGAGGAGAGTGGGCTCGTGGGCACGGCCGATGCTCGGACATGTCTTAGGCTTCATGCGGAGTGCGAGGTCACTCCCTGCGCACTCAAAATGATCTGTACATGTGCTGTCCTTCCCAGCATCTACGGTGCCCGCCGAAACCCTCAACCCTAAACCCAAAGGCCTTACACGGTAGGGTGCCCTAAACACTAAACCCTAAACTAGGGTGCTGAGTCTCTTGGCAAGACCTTTCCGACGGCCTGCGCAGTTGGAGGTCGAGGTGTAGACCCCTGAGCGTGATCTTCAGCTCGCCCGAGAACCTTGGACTCTTTGTAGCTGCTTTAGGGTTCTATAAGGCTTCAGGGTTTAGGGTTTAGGGTTTCGGTGCCAGATGTTGTTCTGAGTCAGTGTTCGCAACATGTGCCACACAGTGCCGATGAGACGACCTCTACATCCGAGATATCAAATCAGCCCTCCAAGCCCCTACAAGTGGCCTTACAAAACCCCCTAAGAGGAAACGCCCCTAGACCCTAAACCCTAAACCCTAAACCCAGAGAGACCTTTGGCCTAAAGGGGACTCAAGACGAGACGCGCCTTGGTGGACCCTCCGGGACAAGAGCCCCAAGCCTAGACCCCAAACCCAAAAAACAGCACCAGACCAGCCCCAAAAAACCCGGGAAAGATGCAATCAGAGCGGGCCAGCGTTCCTACCTGGGACCCGCTTTACCTACAGTTTTCTCGAGTCCTAAACCCTCAACTCAGCCAAACCCTACACACGAAGTGGGGGCCCCTTCAAACCCTTTAAAACAAACCTTAGCCCTATAAGCCCGAGGCACTTCAACTCTCCAGTTGCCATCCATAGCCCGCGGAGCACCCTAAGAAACCCCACCCTAAACCCGAAACCCTAAACCGCTAAAGCCCTAAACTTGAATCCTGGATCCTATGGCACCCAAACAAAGACCCAAGCGGAACGTAGGAATTCCAATGAAACCCGAAACCCTTCAACCCCCACAAAGCTTCATAGCTGGAAGCTCCTAACTCCCGCTCACCCCTAAACGGGCCTTGTTCCGAAATCCTACCGATGAACTCCATAAGCCATTTATGAGCCCGATCAACCCTTTGAAGCCTCTAAACCCTACCCTATCAACCCGAAAAAGACCATAAAACCACTGTTAAAATCCTATCAAAATGCCTCTAAAACCTTACAAACCACAAAAAAACCATCAAAAACCACAAAAACCCTATTAAAGCCCTATAGCAACCCGATCAGAAATCCCCAGAAAACCACCCCGGGGCCTTCCACTTGTAACCCAAATTCTGACCATCTTAGGGCACTCAAGGGGCTTATAAGTGGGTTCTAAGTACAGTTTTCCTAAACCCTAAACCCTAAGAAGAACCCTTTTGAGTACAGTTATGTTTAGGGTTTAGGGTTTAGGGTTTAGGGTTTAGGGTTTATTATTGGGTTCACAAGTACCCTGAACCTTCAAAGCATGGACAGGGCGCAGCGCCGCGAAGGGGATGTCAACCTCCAGGCTCTGTAGGATGCCATCCTCGACATGGACTTCTTTGGGGAGACACTCTTGGCTGTGCTGTGTAGGGTTTAGGGTTTAGGGTTTAGGGTTTAGGGTTTCGGGTTGAGGGTTTAGGGTTTAGGGTTTAGGGTTTAGGGTGTAGGGTTTAGGGAACCCTAAAACCTTAAACCCTTAAACCCTGTTGGGTAGACCCTGAAGCCCCAAACCCTAAATCCCGAAATCCTACCCTAAACATTCGTAAACCTTCTTGTCCTTCTCTTCCCTGAACTGAGCCACCTTCAAGCTAAAGAATTCGTGGCCGCGGCACCTCCACTTCCAACTCCTCGTAGCCCATCAAAGCGCAAAGCGTACGCTTCAGCTTCATGTTCCTGGATGTCGCGCTCGAGACTCGTAACTCTCAAAACCAGAACCTCCTAGAGCAGTATTCGCACACCCCCGAAAGATATCGAGAGACGCTAATCCGTATGGGATCCCCCAAAAAACAGGTACCCTTCTTTCGGGAAAAAACACCCTAAACCCTAAACCCTAAACCCTAAACCCTAAACCCCTAAAAGGGCTGCCCTGGGGTTGTTCAGGGCCAGCTGAGGCAGCCGGCCTGGGGGCCCGCGGGCTTGTGGCAGCCTCACATTACACGATGCCACTCTTGTTTGTTCTATTTTTTTTGGGTTTAGGGTTTAGGGTTTAGGGTTTAGGGTTTAGGGTTTAGGGTTTAGGGTTTGGGGGGGGGGGGGGGCACATTGGGGGCTGTAAACTGTACTTGTCGTTGTGTTTTGTCTTGTTGCATGTTGTTTTCTTTGTCTATTTCTGTTCCATGTTTTTTGGGGTTCAAGTCGTGGAGACCTCCAAGTGTCCCGATTCTAACGACGAAGCTTCGGGCGCGGGCTCTGTGGCAAACAACTTACCTGCGCGGAAAGCCTAAACTAAACCCTAAACCCTAAACCCTAAACCCTAAACCCTAAACCCTGGTCTCACGCCCAGATTCTGCACGCTCAGGCGACCGAAGTGGAAGCGTAGATTCACCTTTCTCAGGTGGGCTTAAGGGTTGAGGGTTTAGGGTTTAGGGGGCTTTAGGGTTTAGGGTTTAGGGTTTTGGGTGCCTCACCAACCTGCAGCCTTGACATCTCCATTTGATCAAGACGTAAGCAGCGATTTTTATGCCCTTGTAGGGGTGATTTTGGTCAGGACTACAATTTTGGTGACAAGCTTGGGGGAGCGCTATAATTTTGGGGATTGCCCAAAAAAAAGTGCAGTGTAAAGACCAGAAAGAGGCGCCTGCTTGATGTTCACAACATAAGGGCTCACGTACTTCTGCAGCAGCGCGTTCAGCACAGACTGGAACATGGCTGAAGACAGAGAAGATGGGCTGCCACGCCCAGCCAACACACGCCGTAAACCCTAAACCCTAAACCCTAAACCCTAAACCCCTAAAACCTAAACCCTAGAACTTGCCTGCATTGGTCTGCAGAGCTTCACCCAGAGACTCCAACTTCCCGTCGTTAGGGAAATCTCTCCTAGAATGTAACAGAGACCCTCATTTGTCATTGTCGCATGTTCCTTGCTAAGGGATATCGGAGTCTCTGGAAAAAGCGCACATGGTAAGCTAAATCCTGCACGCTCAAGAACCAAATGCTGCCGCCAAGTTGACTGGTAGGGTGTTGTTCATGAAGCGGGAGCTGTGCATAATGCCAGGGCTTAGTGAATACTAGCAATAGCATCCAGTAGAAGATAACACCCGGAAAAGGTTGCACTCCATGACGCCACGGATGGTCAACACAGGGCACAGGCTCGCAATGCCACATTGGCTTTTAAGCCCTCTCAGATATGCGAACTCTCCGGCCTAGGGGAATCCAGACTCCCCGATTCAACGCCCCTCCCGGGATCTGCGATCTCCGGTGATCTCCGGGCGCGATCGATACCCCGGTTTAGGGCTTAGGGTTTAGGGCTTAGGGTTTAGGGTCTAGGGTTTAGGGTTACTTGATTCAGTCTCGAGGTATCTTGGGGATGAGGAATTTCTCAGGGCACCAAGACGGCGTTCCAGCCACTTTGTGGCAAGGATGGTGACACTGCAATGGAGGCTTCAGGACACAAGCCTCTATCGACATCTTATAGTTGTCCAGCACCTAGGGGCTTTAAAGGTTGACCTTTGGGATTATAAGGGGAATGTATTACCCCAAAAGGGTTAAAGGTTACCTACTCTACTACTAAGACGTGTACAGACCGTATGGAAGCAGAAGTGGGGCGGAGTCAAGGCCCAAAGGAGGAATACAAAGCCACAAACTTGCCCTAAACCCTAAACCCTAAACCCGAAACCCTAAACCCTAAACCCTAAACCCTAAGCCCATGGGCTGACAGCCTCCAAAAGAGGTGAGACTTCGAAGGCGGCGACCTGTCACTCAGAAGCCCAGTTACTTCTTAGGGTAGTTACATGGTCCCTTAGAAGGGGACCCTTCATATACCCATATATACCCCTTCTATGCCCTTGATCTACCCCTTATATACCCCTCTACAGGCCGAGGGCATATGCAAAAGACACCCCTTAAAGGAGGTATGGGGCCATGCTAAGGGCCCACGTATATCTGCCCTCAGAGGAACCCAAAACCTTATACCCTAAGCTACGAATCCGAAGTCCCAGCGCAACTAGGTAGCAGAACCTCCTCCCGAACGCCTCAAGCAAGACCCTAAGCGGGGTTATCCCAAGCCCGAGACCTCTACAATATTTGCCATAAACCCTAAACCCTAAACCCGGCATCTTCCTCGCAGGTTGGCGCCTCCCAGCAGCTTCACATGCACTCGCCCAGAGCTCCCACAGCTCGGCAGGCCTAGGAAAGGTTCTGCGCGTGCCGCAGCTCGCGGATTTGGATGGGGCGGACAGGGCTTCGAATTCTACAACGGTGGAACGGACACCCCGTATCCTGAAAAACAGCGAACTTCCCCAGAAGCCCCGGCAGCGAGGCTGCAGCATTCTCCTCCACCTGGCTGGTGGCTTGGGAGGTCCGATGCTCTCGACAGAGTCAGATGGTCACTTCTGTAAGTTATGGTCCCTTTATGGGGTACCCTACACAAGAGGGGCCGCCGTATAATGAGCCCAAAAGCTATCTTAGAGAAGTGATCAGATAGAACAGCCAGAATAAGGGAGCTCTCTGTCTTTTCGGCTCTGACTCTGACAGTCGGACTTTCCAGCCGCCTGCTAGGTGAGTAGCACTCCGGGCCAACGGTAAGAAGAGTACGAACCAAAAATCAGAACATAGAATTGGCACATATAGTATTCAGATCATAGTACAACCACATAGCAATATGACAAGTAACAAATGCTGGACATCTGCCCATCGTCATGAGCGTCAAACGACACCAGGCCAGTGTCAAGTGCCCGGCCTGTTCCGACTTGGATTCCTATGCGCTCAACTCGCGCGTATGGGTGCAATGAGTCTTTGGTGATTCCCTGACCTTGTTCTCAAACTGGGCCAGGCACGCCATCCAGGTGAGGCCAACCACCAAGTCGGCTACGCTTCCAGAGAGTCGCCTCGAATCCCATGCAGGGGAACGTGACACGACTTTGTCTGACAAGAGCTAATTATATCCGAGCCGCCAACAGCCCCTTTGCTTGTAAAGTGCCGTTCCAAAGTTGCAAGGCGAGTACCCCACAAGTGTCCTTCAGGTTTCGCCGAAAGGGGCCACATGTTCCTGCGCGTGCCCCTGGAATATCTTGGAGGTCACGACAAAGTGGTACTGTAGTAGGGCAGCCAGGAGGGAATAATGATCCGACTGTCGATTGCGGATAAGCCACCCTGAACCCCCAAAACACGGGGTGGGTTCTGGATATGGGTCCCCTCATAGATGCCTGAAATCCTGGGACGCAGGCTCCTTCTACAGTAGGGGACAGGATAAGGGGGACCCTTGGGAATATAGACCCTCTGAATAAGGTCCCTTGTTAAGAGAGCCAGAAGAGGGTTCAGAAGGGGTTCCCTTTTAAGGGTCCCCCTTATCCCACCTAGGATACAGAGGTCTCCAAAAATGAGACCCAAAATTCGACGCCGTGAAGAATCCTGCCGAGTTTTCGGCCCATGGCTTCGTAGCATCTGGAAGAGCGAAGCCTCAGAAACAAACTGCCCCAAAAAAACGACGAAAAGTTATTTCGACCTGCTCATATGGGGGTTTCCGAAAAGAGGAGTAGGGTACCCCCTTTTTTGGGATACATTCCATATGCAGGGCGTGTTTGAGTTATCATGGGCTTTACTGGTCTAGTGTAACCATTCAATAGGGCAGCTGACTTAGGCTCTTGCATTATGAGTTCGCTTAGGTTTCTGTGCACGGGTGCGGGACTTTGTTGCCTACAGTGGTTTCGCTATCAACCGTCCAACGAGCTGGTATCTGTCGACTGCTAAGCCGAGGTCATGCTGTCAAAACACCAAACACACAAAAGGCTCAGACCCGAAGCTCTAGCGTGGCATCAGCTACTTTTTCTCGGGTCCGCTCTGCTGACCCCGTGAAGACTCTGCGGGTTTGTAGGGAATTGAAGGAATAGTCATAAACGTAATCTTCGCAAAGCCCCGATCCTTCATTCTTTACGAACCCACAGGAAGGAAAAGCAGGCTTGGGGCTTATGACTGTTGAATTAGTTGCCCAACCCGTATACCCCAATACGGGACAAATGTGTTCTTTAAATAGTATCTTCTTGGGTTTCTGTGAATAAAGGAAAGAAATCCTAAGGGGGCTATGCAACGTTTCAAAGCACGGATCTTTGCGCCCGGCTCACCGATAGCCCCGGCAAGAGGGGAGAGACCTCGCAGAGGCTGAGGGTTTAGGGTTTAGGGTTTAGGGTTTAGGGTTTAGGGTTTAGGGTCTAGGGTTTAGGGTTTAGGATCTAGGGTCTAGGGTCTAGGGTCTAGGGTCTAGGGTTTAGGGTTTAGGGTTTAGGGTTTAGGGTTTAGGGTTTAGGGTTTAGGGTTTAGGGTTTAGGGTTTAGGGTTTAGGGGCGGAATTCGGTCTGAGGGGCTCAGTGGGTTTAGGGTTTTGGGATGTTCCCCCTTAAACTAAGAGTCCTTAATGGGGATTATCGTACCCCGTATTCTAATCTTTACCAAGGACTGTTAGTATAAGGGGGAACATCCCAAATTTAGGGTTTTGGATGCTTGGCTTTGCAGGTTTTTGCTTTTTGTTTTTCGGGTTGGGGCTGGAGGGGGATTCTGCGTTGCAGGGTTGCTTTTCAGGAGAACACGCGCGTTCCCCGGAGTCCTTTCTATTAATTGCTTAAGAAACCCCAAAACATTAAAAAAACATTCTGCCTTAAAAGGGGAATGTGGGGATTGTCTTGTTTTCAATTCCTTCCAGCATGGGCTATTAGGCCCTACAATCCCCATAATCAACCCTATTAAGGGTCTTTTTGGGGGGTTATAGGGTATCATAGCCCATGCTGGTACACGGTCCCTAAACCCTAAACCCTAAACCCTAAACCCTAAACCCTAAACCCTTCACCCTAAACCCTAAACCCTAAATTCCTTTGGGGATTCTTAAGCAAACAGTAGCTTTGCGTTTGTTGGTGGAATGGCGGCTCATCTTGAAGGTTCGCGGGTGGGATCACGCAACATAGTCACGCCTGATCCCGGAGGCAAGAAAAGCCCCTCGTCTTCTTGTTTCGTAGGGTTTAGGGTTTAGGGTTTAGGGTTTCGGGTTTCGGGCTTAGGGAAAAACATCTCTTGCAAATGTGCTTTGGTAGCCAGGAGATGTGATTCTGACTTTGTGCTGCAGCTCTGGCCACCCCTGCCAATCAAGTGCCCCGGGACCCCATCTCGACTCGGACTGCTGATTTTCGGCAGCGGTTGTTTTTCTCCAGCGCCGTCCAATGCGTTTCTGAGCCTGTGCCTTAAACAACAACATGAGGACTTGACAGTAGCTGTCTCCCACCATGTCAACCAAGAGGCTGGACAGTGACACTCAGGCTTTTGCGACATCACCATCACCATCACCACCATCCGGTCATTCACGACACCCAAGAGTAACATAGGAATAAGAAGGGCGCCCTTCTTTGAGTTTAAAAGGGCTTACTGTAAAGGGGAGCCTAAAACTCGAAAAACAGGGAATAAGGGCCTACTCTGGCTTCTAGTTCGCCACGTTCACCTGAACCCAAACTCGCAGAGCAAAGCCTGCGACGTGAGGCGCGTGAGGTCTGCAATGGTCTGTACAGCTGCAACTGTCGAGGAAATTTATTGAACGCACAAAGTGCGGGCATGACTCGACAGACGTGCAAGGCACATGCCCTCAAGCGTTCCCACTCGGCCCCTGGATCGTGCGCAATGACTACTTGAAGGTTCAGGGTACTTATTCACCCAATTAGAACTGTACTTATAACCCAAATTATGACCATATTAGGGCCTGAAGGGCCACACCTGAGATGTTGGAGTCTACCCCGAAACCTCCAACTTCACCTCAGGGAGAGTGTAAAGGGGTATCCACGGGTGACGGTAGTATTCAGGGCCATATCTTGGAGATTCATGGTGCTTGTGCTTATTCACCCCATATTAACTGTACTTATAACCCAAATTATCACCATATCAGGGCACTTAAGGCGCTTCTAAGTGGGTAGCAAGTACAGTTATCATTGTTGTAATTAGTGAATACGTACCCCGAACCTCCAAGTAGAGTCAGGGCTTGAACAGCTCTTGGCAGAGCCTGAGTAAGGAAGGCCGTTGGCGGAAAATGTCTGTTCAAGTGTAGTGTGCCGCAGGTGAGAAGATGCCACTTTTCTACTGACAGCAGCCGGCTCGAGCGAACAGGCGCTACTTGATAAATGGAAAAGTCATCCGTTTGTTCTGGAGTTCAGCAAGAAGCCTTGGCATTCGCTGACGCTCCAACAACGCCTATACCCTGCTCTGCGCTTGGTCATGCCAACTGCTGCGCAGCCGACGCGGAGCAATGTCCCCCCTATACTCCCCTTAGAACACAAATGAAAATATCTTTTAAAATATCCTCTTGGGTTTTATATAAACAAAAATAAAAGGAATCCCCAAAAAGATATATCCCCTGGTTCTTTGAGTAGGGTATGAGGGAATTAAAACCCTTAATCCTAAAAGGGATTATGCAGGGTACCTCAGTCCCTCCTTCCCTACGAAGAACCAGCCAGATGTGTGCAGCCGCGGGTCCGATTGATGTTTGGCCTTCGTTCGTGAAGCCTGCAGGGCGCCCTATGCTACAAGTAGGGTTTAGGGTTTAGGGTTTAGGGCTTAGGGTTTAGGGTTTAGGGTTTAGGGCTTAGGGTTTGGGGTTTGGGGTTTGGGTTTAGGGTTTAGGGTTTAGGGTGCAGCGCTTCGCAGGTCCGGTGGCTGTCTGTTTTAGAACACTTTCGGGCTTAGGGACTTCCTTTGAAGTTGATGTCCCACCCTTATGCCCTTATGCCCTTTGGCATCGGGCTACGATGTCCTGGCCGGAAAGACTCAGCAAAACTCTCAGAGCCTAGCACCCTCATAACACCCTAAGGGCCCTAAAGCCTTTTTTTGAACCCAGGCTCTGCACTTTAGGGCCTAAACCCTAAACCATAAACCCTAACCGTAAACCCTAAACCCTATAAACCCTACATCCTAAAGGCCTTGAAGGCCCTGAAGGCCCCAAACCACATAAAAGCCTTCAAAACCCATGACCTCTAATGAGGCTCAACTTCGTCTCTTCCCCGCCCAGCGGCTGCACACGCGGACGTCGTCACTGCAAGCGACGACTCCTCGGTCTCTTACTGCTGGTTCGTAGGGAATGAGGGAATGAGATACCTTTAAGGTTTAGGGTTTAGGGTTTAGGGTCCCTTAAAGGGTATATAGGACTAACCAACAGTACGGTCTGGTTCTTAGGGAATGAGGGTAAAACGCTCACCCCCGAAAGAAAATCGCAGAGAAATTGCTCTGCAGCTCGAAGGTGGGCACTAACTGGAGCCATGTCCAGGGTTTAGGGTTTGGGGTTTAGGGTTTAGGGTTTAGGGTTTAGGGGTCTACACCAGGGGCTCAGTCGAGCTTCTGCATCGAAACTCCGGGCGCAGGGGGTTTAGGGTTTAGGGTTTAGGGTTTAGGGTTTAGGGTTTAGGGTTTAGGGTTTAGGGTTTAGGGTTTAGGGTTTAGGGTTTAGGGTTTAGGGTCCTTCCAGCACCAACGTGTCCCTAAGGCGTGGACGCTTCAGATTCAGGAGTGGCCCTGGCTCAAAGATGGTACTGGTAGTAGGGCTTACGGCCGCGTTTTGGGGGCTGCGGTTTTTCAAAAGGGTGGAGGACGATGACTTTTGAGACTTCCTAGGCTTAATTGACAGTTCCCACGCCATGATGCAACAGCCCAACCCTAAACCCTAAACCCTAAACCCTAAACCCTAAACCCCCTGTCAAGAGCCACTGTGGCCGCAAAGGCGCGCTCATCGGCGGCCAGGTCCGGGCCGAAAAAGTCTCCAGCCTAAAACGAGAGAGCCGGCTTCGACGCACACACTTGCACAAAGGCCGGGATCCAATCCAGTTTAGGGTTTTGAGGGAATCAAAAGATGGTTTCTGTGTGTGTGTGTGTACTGACCTTTGCTTTTTGCAGAAGGGTATTCTAGGGACTGTTCACTGGCACGTCGGGGCTTATGATGGCTTACGGTTGCTCAGTCCTGTGGCGACTGGGGCTTCAGGGAGTTCAGATCAAGGGACGAACTATGCCCCATCGATCTGAATCGAAGCTGGGAGGACTCCGGAACGTCATACCCTTTTTGGAACCCCAGACTCTGAGAACGCTTTACCCTGAACCCATCAAGCCCTGCGACTTCCTTAAGTTAAGGGAGCCGCAGCCCTGCTCCGGGTACTTTGGAACTTCGCCCTTCGGAATTCGGAAATGCCAGAGCCTCAGAAGCCCTTCCTCAAAGCCAAGACCTCGATTAAGCAAACCCCCCACCCCCCCCTCCCCTCGTGATTTGGGCAACTTCGAACAACCCTGAACCCTGAACCCTGAACCCTGAACCCTGAACCCTAAACCCTAAACCCTAAACCCTAAACCCTAAACCCTAAACCCTAAACCCTAAACCCTAAACCCTAAACCCTAAACCCTAAACCCTAACCTGCTCATTTGAGGTCGGAACCATCCCTCAACACCCCCAGCAATATCAGGCCTCAAGAGATCGAACCTGGCGTCCGCCCCGCACAACCCTACAGGCACCCTGCCTGGGCCAGGGGTTTAGGGTTTACGGTTTAGGGTTTAGGATTTGGGGTTTAGGGTTTGGGGTTTAGGGTTTAGGGTTGTGTTTTTGGCTCGTGGGGCTTTCGGGTTTGGGGTGGAGGGTGCGCATGTAGGGTATCCCGAAGAGTATCGCATACTGCGAAAGAGGCACTGCAAGGCACAAGCCCCCTAAGACCGCCATCAGCCGGGAAAGGGTTCGACAATCTGAAGCCTAAACTCCAAGAACCCTAAACCCCAAGAACCCTAAACCCCAGGAACCCAAAACCCCAAGAACCCTAAGCTCCAAGTACCCTATGATACGGGCTATTTAAAACACTGCAAGTGAACAGACTTCCGGGCCGCCAGAGGGAACGAGTGCAGAAGGACGGTCGATTTTAAAAACTATTCTCGAAGTAAAAGAAGAGCTGAAAGGTCTTTCTTAGGGTTTCGGGTTCAGGGTTTAGGGCGAGGAACTGGCCATCATGCGCACGGACCTGCATTTTGTGCTGGAGAAGACCCATTGCAAAGTCACCGTCCCAGGGACGACGTATGGCTGAATGCCAGCTCGGCTGCTCAAGCACTCGGAGACGTTGACATCCAAGGGCTACCAGGTCGCCTGAGATATTGC